ATAAAAATCAAGCCTATCTTCTCCATAAAGTCTTTCTACCCTAAGAGCGATTCAGCTCCTCTGTGAACTCAGTGGCATTTATAGTGTATTTTAATATGCAGCCTAATCACAAACTGTCTTAGCATACTTCCACACTTTTCCATATGCATATATTATAGCTCCCTAAGAAGTACAATGCTGTGCATTTTTTTTGTGTGTTTTCCATAAGTATCTTTGAAGGAGTGGAATAAAAAGAGCATGAACTATGGAGTTTGATAGATGTACTTGGGTTTATTGTTCTATCACCATCACCTATTGGTTGAAGAATGTTTGGCATGCTCAATACCTCAATTCAACATTTTTAAAATGAAAATAGTAATACATAAGAAGTGTCCTATTAATAGTTGCCATTAACCCTAAGCAGTGTATGGCATAGCGTAAAATCTTAACTTTTTCAACCAATTACCCAAACCACTGATTTTTCCATAACCTTTTCAGTATGAGAATATCACCATTTCACAGAAAAGCCAATTCCAATATTGGACAGTTCATATTTATTAGAATATTTTTTACATACAGTTTAAATTGGGATACCTAAACTTCCATCAGCTAGTTCCAGCTTGGCTTTTTGAACTCAATGAAATAAATTCAAAAGACCCAATAAATTCCAATAGAAAAAATTTTGCAAATAATGCTTACTGTATTTTACCACTTATATACAGTATGTAAAATGGTGGATGAGAAAAATTTGGCTAGCAACTATCAATCTTGACAAAAATTTGAGATTTTGCTGTGGCATTTCTTTTTTCTTAATCTCTTTCCTAAAAGCATTTTTCTCCATAGTCCTCAACTTACAATGCAGTTACATCCCAATAAACTCATTGTAAGTTGAAAATATCGTAAGGTGAAAATACATTTAATGTACTTAACCTACCAAACGTCATACCTTAGCCTAGCCTACCTTAAACGTGCTTAACCTACCATTGGGTAAAATCATGTAACACAAAGCCTATTTTATAATAAAGTGTTGAATATATAGTGTAATTTATCGAATAC